ATGTTTATCGTTTGATTGCCGCGCAAATATAAATTTAATTTTGGCGGGCGTCGGACTGAAATACTCCGACTAAAAATAGAGATCAAATTTTCTTGATTGACATTTTCCTTCAAATCGTGGCGTGTAAATTGACAAATCTGTCAGATTTCACGCCTGACAAAAATTTGTCCTGCTCCGAGGCAGGACGACGGCGTCTTTGAAGTTTGGTAAGCCTTGACAAGCCTTGGTAGATCTAAAAATCACCGGACGCACTTGTCTCAGGGAATTGATGACAGATTTTTTCGCAAAATAAACAAAAATTTGCCCAGTGCGTCCGGGCCCTATTGCACGCGAAAGGATCTGCAACGGCACTCTGGCACGTTATCCTTCGTGACCTCGTGTGTGCGTGCCCCGGACGCATCTTCATGCGCCGGCTTATCAACACCTTCAAAGAAGCTCCACAAAACCTCAAGAGTGGAGTGATCCTGAAATGAAGTGATTTCTGATCTGGAATGGTGGATGTTTTCCTGCAACATTTCAGTGCTGTCTCAGTTCTCGGCCACCTGATATCGTCGTTTCCAATCCCAACCTTTTTCTCCGAGGACGCTTGTCTTACCAGCTGCGGCACAGTAAGTTCTGAAGAATTTTTCCATCCGAATTTCCGGAACGTATAATGCAACCAGGTCAGCAGGCTGGCAGCAGTTTCCAGAACTTTTCCAACAGCTATGCTTTGACAGATAAATACTATCATGGTTTTTCAAGTGATGCTACAATATTGGTATCACTTGAATTTCCAATCTTTAGTGTGCTAATAGTGGTAATCTTCATAGCATAGCTACCATAGCAACAGTACAAGCTATTTAAAACACCCTTAAATTTAGCTTTTAGTGCTTACAACTCAAAAGTGAGCTCGGTGACCCATTATTTTTATTATCGATTTGTGATAAGCATGATCAGATGCAACTTTTCGCAAAGTTTAAAAAGAATTATGTCGAGGTTGTTCAGAGCGACCTTAACTGTGCGAAATTTTGTTGTTTTTAAAATTTTCCTAGATTACTTTATCCTGCCCCAAGTACTGCCTTTGGGTCTCTGGATGAAACGAACCACTTTCACCTAATTGCTAGTAGTGTACGGTGGCTTAGCCAATCAGATTGTAGCATTTGTATCAGACTACAACACTGTAGAATTCAACTAAATGATGTAGTAATGACAAGCAAGCTACAGCTTCACATCGTTCAAACGTAATTCTCCCACAAACGTTTACATCAACGATCGTTTAAGTCTTTAAAACGCTCACCATCGAATTTCTCTCCCACGTTTAACTGTCAACAGATTTTCCTTTCATTTTTTTTTTTTTTTTTTTTTTTTTTATGTTTATGGGATGTTCCGGAACGTTCTGGAATGTTTCGGAATGTTCCATGTTCCTGGTTTTATCGACGGCCTTATTCTTCGACCACTACTTTGACCCAAAAATC